TTGCAAATTCCCTAGTCCCGCTTACAAATGGACACCTTGTTCAGGTCAAGGAGGACACTTGCATATGTAAGAGAACATATTTTCAGGTGAAGAACGACACTTGTGAATGGTCTAATTGTTATTGTTAACATAGTTGTCTCTCTTGCAAATTGTCTAGTCTTTCGTGCAAAAAGCTAATCATTAATATAGGTCATTAACTTTGAAATAAATGAACATTTGGTGTTAATTTTTGTATCCTTGTTACAAATTTCTTAATTTCTGTTGTCAACCGTATATCTAATCAAAGTAAACAAGTACTGATAATATGAATTCCATCAAAACAGACTTCCCTAACATCTTTTGTATGCACAATATTTGATTCCACATCAAGTGTTCACAATATGAATTACAGTGCTTATCAGCGAAAACTACATGTTCAATGGCAGAATTTGCAATGTCATCACTTTCTCTTGCGTTGTGTGTTAATCTAGTCAAGGTGTTTGGCAACAACATCTGACTTGATGTTTCTCTTATGAGTCACGAGCCACCATAACGGCTCACACCATAGAGATGTGTATTGATCCTATGGGACAACAATAAGTTTTCTCAGTAAGTTCACACAGATGCATGAAGTCGTTAACATATAATTCAACAGTTACTGCTGTATAATAAGGCATGGTGAATTGAACTCCATCCTTGTGGGTAGTAGTACTGCGTTCCCCACCATTTTTCCTTCTTTATTCCCTTCTTCAGTTTCAGCCTCCTGTTTACCTTTAGCATCCTTTTCTGCAGCTTTATTTTCTCTAACATAGTCATCCTCATCTTCATCTTCCTCTTCTTCTTCTTGTTGTTCATCATCATGTGATTTCTCACCACTTTGATGTATTTCCCCACCCTCTACAGTCATAACTTATCATCTTGTGGCTGCTCATCTTTATCCTCATTAGTGTGGTATTCTTTTCCTTCTTGCTCATGCCCATCTTTGTCACTTTCTTCTGGCTGCTCATCATTGACTTCTTCACTGCCTCCCCAGTTAAGAATTTTGTTTTCCAACTTAACCAATTCATCACAAAAAAAGTTTTGAAGGTTGGCCATTTCATTGTTCAATGTGTTGTTGAAATTGACCCAAAACTCCTTAATGTCCTGCACATTAGAAATGTATGTCATCAAACAGATATTAACTGTGACCAACAGACATTACCATGTTGGTATTACTCACTGGATGATGGAAACTTCTACTACTCCCTAGCTGTGTTGACTCATTCACTTCAGTAGAGGGTGGACTGTAGAAAATGCCATGTTGACTCTCCTTTTCCACATCAATTCTAGTCTTTACAGCCTTATCATCCCAATGTTTGATGGCATCTTTGTCTTTTGGTTCAGCTCCCTACAAAGGGAACCTTTGCAGGAAGTACAGCTACAGACAAAAAAAAACATTACTCAAAAATCAAATTACACAATACATCAATAGTTTAATTGTCAAACCATATCCGATATCATTGTAGTATTTTGTAAACAAATATGCAAGTACCAATAAAAAATAGACGCACCCTCCACAACTCTGGTGCCCTTTGTCTGTCCTTCCTTACTGCTCCTATTGTACCATTTTATTTCTTTACTAAGTTCGTGAAGCACAAACGACGCCCAATCAAAATTTTGCTAGTTATTTTCTGTGCAGGCCATTACCTTTAGCATATTCTCACTCACACTTACACTTCTCGTGGGACAAAGAAGAGTTCCCACTGTGAAAAGAACAAAATAGAATTCAAAGTTTCCATCTTCTTCCTCACTCATTATCTTCTCCGCAATTTGAGAATATGTTAGTGGAGTATAGTCCTTCAGCTCATTTACTTCATCCTTGAAGCCATCCAACTTCACTTTGGAGCCCTTATCTGGTAACCCAAGCACCCTCCTAACATCTATAGCAGTTACCTTCTTTGTCTTCTCCCTTATGATGATTTATTTACTTTGGGGATCATATGCATGAATCAACTTTAAACATAAATCTCTGGACAGCTTATTCAAAGTAGTACTAAGAAGATGACCAAATCCCATTTCTTCTACCTTACGCTTTAAATTTTCTTTCCCATTTATAAAGTTTGCCACTTCCTTGAATTTCGTAGGGGAGCAGTAGGTAGAAAATGGAGGCACATATTTCTCCTCCTTCTTCTTCTCCTTTATCAGCTGTAGCTCCTTCTTCCTGTACGGCTCCCTGTCAGCATCACTCATCTCCTTCCAAATTACTAAAGCTGCATATGTGATTGCTTCCATTCTATGCATCTCCTCCTTCTTTTGCTCCCAAAATTCTCCCTTGAATACTTTCCAACCAGTAACTTGTACATAGTTTTTTCCCATCTTCTTAACCCTTTATCTAATAATCACAAAGTCAGTAATTAGTAAATTAAACAACACTTCAAAATTCATACCATCCAACATTTCTTCTTACATCAAACCCAAAATTGTATGTACACTAATTGTTATTGTTAAATCCTTAACTTTACTTGTCAGACGACAAGACATCAAATTGTTACATGCAAGTTAAGTGGATAATGACACCATTCTTCCTGTAAATTGGCTAAATTTAAGGCCACAAAAGATCAGATTCTAATAAACATGAAATTATGCAATAGAGGTGGTTAATTTAGTGATTCTTTATGTAAATTTCCTAACTTTCAAAGTCCAAGACACATTAAACAGTTACACAGAAGCTAAGTGGAAATTTAGCTAATTGCTCTTGTCAATTGCCTAATTTTTCCTATAAGGCCACTGTAGACCAGACTCCCACAAACATGAAATTTTGTAATACAAGTGGTTAATTTACTGACTCTTCATATAAATTTCCTAACTTTTAGAGTCCAAGACACATCACAAGCCACATAGAAGCTAAGTGGAAATTCAACTAATCGCTCGTGTCAATTGTCTAATTTTCCCTGTGAGGCCACTACAGACTAGATTCCCACAAACATAGTGGGTAATTTACTGATTCTTCATGTAAATTGCCTAACTTGACAAATTTCAACAAACATGAAACCGTTACACATCAGCTACACTCACAAGCCTTCTCTCACTCAATTAGGAGGATTTGCTAAAGGGCAAAAGGGGTGACGGCCGAACACTATGTGACACATTGGTAACCATTCCTCAGTTAGAACCCAAACGTCATTACCAAACACACCCACCTTTCAGTGGGTCATTCTTCCTTAACCTACCATGAAAACAGAATCGAACAAATCTACTGCATTTAATGTGGACTGCGAAGCTTACCAAAGGAAATCAGTGACTTCTTCTCGTCCTGCTTCTTCCTTCTTTGTTGATAGCCTTGCAAGTTTCCTTGTTTGTCGGCCTCATCTTGTTCTCCTTTTGGTTGTAGTGACTACCATGAACTCGCAGAATAAAGGTAATGGAATTTTTGGGGGGCACGTCGAACACTTTTCGCAGATTGCGAGAGACAAGAATCTTCCCATAGTGGTAGCACGTTCGCAAGCGGGATACGGCAGATTTTTCGCAGAGTGGTAGCATGTTGGCAGACCAAGAGAGGCAACAGTTTTCCCAGAGTGGTTGCACATTCACAGTGCAGGAGAGGGAAGAGTTTTCACACAGTGGGATCACGTTCGCATAGAGAGAGAGAGAGGTAGGACTTTCTGACCATCGTTTTTTTGCCCTTATTTTCAAATTTCAAGGGAAGTATTATGAGGAGCAACAACGTCATTTCATTTGTGGAATTAATATCAAACTAGCCCCTTGGTCCTGCAGTGAGGTTTTAGAAAGTTTTGGAGGCTATTTGAAATTAATTGTGTACTGCAGTCCTTAAACAAAGTTTTCCCAATAATAATTGACTGACTTCTGACCAAAAAAACCACGTGACTGACTTAGTGTTTCTTTTAAGTCTGGCATTTGGACGGCAAAAAGAGTCCACTAAATTAAGAAATTTAATTTATTTTTTAAATAAATTTATTAATTTTATAAGAGTCCATTAAATTTAGAAATTTAATTTAATTTTTTAAAAGTAATTTAATTTTATAAGGGTCCGTTACACTTAGGAATTAAATTTAATTTTTTAAATAAATTTATTAATTTAACTACAGCCGGCTACTCTATAATGGAGAAGGAAGTAGGACCCATTTATAAGAGTCCAAGAGCCACACTACTGACTACAACAAACAAAGAGGGCTCACCCAGTCAACTTTCCTGCATACACGCTGTAATGTTTAATCATTTATAAGATGTGAATTAAGTTTTGAATTTTCATTGAAAAACGTGCTAACATTAAATGTTTAACCAATAAGAAAATACTCTAACTCCTTTTTTTTCCCCCCACAAGAAAATACTCCGACTCCATATATATATAACTTTTGTTTTTCACATAGAATTGGTCTTATATGAAAACTTTATTTGCTGTAAAAATTTAATGGCATTTTTTATTTTATTCCAATTAATATCTTGACCATTGTTTCAAATAGAATTGACTCTGAAAAAAGAAATATCTGTGCACAATTTCATTATCTCAGAATGAAAATTTTTTATTGTGAAAATAGGGCAAGGGGCTCTAATGCCCCACTATCTTATCCACTAGAAATAATTTTCCAAGCAAAGAAATATATTGATAGACCTCATCTCAATGTTGGAGTTAGGGCTAGCCTCTCCAGCGTACGGTATATAAATCAACGAGCAAGATTTTTCTAGGCAGTATTCAAACAAAAGAATAAGGCGAATTGAGATATTTGAACGGGTTGCTGAGGCCCTTCCACGGAAAAACGCGTATGACTTGAAGGCACAAGAGAATAATATGGTAGGACTTTGACTAAGGGTGTGTTTGGGATCAAAGGCCACCAAACTGACTTCTCCACCGGTAAATAATAATAATTGACTGACTTCCGGCCCCAAAAAAAAAAAATTGACTGACTTAATGTTTCTTTTAAGTCTGGCTTTTTGGACTGCAAAAAGAAAAAAGTGTGGCCTTTTGAATTAAAGTATTATATGAAGTCGCTTTCTCTTACTGGCATCCATATATAATGTGAAAATTGTGATCCGTTGAAGCGTGTTATTGCGCTGCTGTCTGGTTCCGTCAATAAGCCATGGCTGCTTCTGCTTCTTCTTCTAGTTCTTCCCGGACTTACCATGTGTACTTGAGCTTTGGAGGTGCAGATATGCGTCGCGGTTTCATTTCTCATCTTGATAAGGCTCTGAAACAGAGAGGAATCCATGTTTTCCTGGACGAAATAGAGATTCAGAAGGGAGATGATATCTCCGAGGAATCATTAGTGCAATCAATTGAAGCATCACAAATTGTTTTAGTAATTTTTTCTCCAGATTATGCTTGTTGGCGACATTGTCTGGATGAACTGGTGAAAATAATGGAGTGTCAAAGAAGTCAAGGTCAGGTGGTTATGCCCATATTCTATCAAGTACATCCATCAGATGTTTTTCATCAGAAGGGCAAATATGGGGAAGCAATGGAAGCACACAAGCAAAGGTTTGGAAGCGGGAGTGATCAGGTTTTGCGGTGGAGGGAAGCACTGCTGCGCATTGCCAACCTTCCCGGCTGGTATCACGGATACGACAGGTTGTTGGATTCACCCCTTTCTATTTCATAAATAATTCTGTACTTTTTGGAACTACTTGGGACATGTTTACTTCGCGTAAATTCTTCATTTTTGTAACTCTTTAGAGACATGTTTCTCGGGACATGCGGTCTTCTTTGGGTTCATCTTAATTCAGCTTCCGTCCTTCATGCTTATGCTTGGGTATCTTTAAATTTTCCTTAGCTTTTATATCACTAACCAGCCACTTTTGAAATTCCAAAATCCCACAGGTTTTCGAAGATTTATAATAATTTTAGGTGAAAATTTGTGCAGTTAAAGTAAATAGACACGCATTACTTAGTATGCATAAGAATTATTGGAAAAAAAAACCCAGCATCTTTATATGAAATTTATTTTTTAAAAGAACAGACAAAAGGGACAAGTTTAAGATTTTGAAAATTTGCATTTGGACGTTCTCCCCACAAGAATACCATGGCATATATATTCTACTACACTGTTCTGGGATGAAATTTACGAGTTGACATTTAATTTTCACTGAAAGCTATTTATTATATTAAAACAGGAGCCCATCCGATCCAATTACTTTTTTTTTTAATTTTTGTTTGCAATTAGCAGTGTACAACCAGGGCAAGGGTGCGGGCACTGAAAAATTTTGAACTAGTTAGGATTTAAAATAATAAAAAAAATTGTATATAATAATATAGGTCAAATAATAATTTGAGTCTTGATCCGATATTTATATTTAATGGTCCAATCTAGTAATGATGATGGGTGCTAATTATGGTTTCCCGGATGTTTAGTTTAATGATGACAGCTGGTCTGAAAGCGAGCTGCTTGAGCAAATTGTTGAGCAAGTTTTAAGAAATTTATCGTTGGTCGAGGAGTATCCAATGAGAATAGAGTCACAAGTTCATGAACCAAAAGTTGATGAATGGTTCAATTATGATGTGTTCTTGAGTTTTAGAGTTGGTACTCGTCACAGTTTCACTTCTTATCTTTATGGAGCTTTAAGACAGTCAAGAATCCACGCTTTCATGGACGATTCAGGGCTTGAAAGGGGAGAAGAGGTCTCTGCCTCATTAATGCAAGCAATTGAAAGATCACAAATTGCGTTGGTAATATTTTCTCCAAAGTATGCTGCTTCCAGGTGGTGTCTGGATGAACTGGTGAAGATAATGGAGTGTCAAAGAAGTCTAGTTCAGGTGGCTATCCCCATATTCTATGAAGTAGATCCGTCTGTTATTGGTCGTCAGACAGGCACATATGGTGAAGCAATGGAACGACATGAAGAAAGGTTGGGAAGGGAGAATAATGGGGTGATGCAGTGGAGGAAGGCACTCATAGCAGCTGCCAATATTTCTGGCTTTAGTTCTTCAGAATATCAATAATACTGTAATTAACCAAGTCTCATTAAAAAGAAAAAAGAAAAAAAAGAAATGCTTATTGGTCAAGCTTTTTTTTTTTTTTTGACCAAAAAGAGAGCCCATTTAATAATAACCAAATAAATAGAGATACACACACTAATAGCCGAAGCCCAAAAAGGAAAAGAACACTCGAAACAACCTAAACATACAACCTAAAAACAAACCTCACCAAAACAAAAAAATACAGCCACCAATCAAAAACAATAAAAGAACAAGCTAAAACTACCAGCTAGTCAACCGACACCGCTCCTATCTTTTTCAGCTGCCAGATTCTTAAAGCCAGACTCAGATCTTTTAGTACCAGCTCGAGCATCTTCCTTTAGAATGCTCAATAAAGGGAGTGATGGTGAAAACACCCATCCAATAGGACACACACCCTTGCAACATGACACAACTAACCAATCAGCTGTCATATTCCCCTTTCTAGGAACCAGGGAAATTTTAACACCCTTCATATATGATAGAGTCACTAACATTTTCGAGAGGTCCCATTTACCTCTCCAATCTGAGCTATCTGCAGAATTGTTCTTACAGCACCAGAACAAGTTACTGCAATCAATCTCAATCTGAGCTTTTAGGATACCAAGCTCCTTAATTAAGGAGATTGCTTTTTTTTTTTTTACAGCTAGGATCTCAGAGACTTCAGCAATAACAGGTTTAATGTTATCACAAAAGCCCCACAGAAATTCCCCAACTTCATTTCTACAAACAATACCCAATGCGGTATCAGTACCATTGAAGGCACCATCACAGTTAATTTTCACAGAACCAGAACTCGGAGGGGACCATCCTTTAAAGTTTTCTACTCTAGCCTCCTTCTTTTCGCCCTATCTTCTAGCCAACCAGAATTCATTCACAGTCTTACCTGCTTCATTTATAACCATTAGAGGTTCTAGTTCCTTCTGCTCAAAAATAAATTTGTTCCTTTCTTTACATATTAACCAGGTTAACCAAGCATTATAAGCTAATTGATAATCATCCAGCCTTCTATCACCAATCAAAATCTCAGCCCACCAATCTTCAATTCTGCGAATATTGCTCTCATCAACTTTAAAGGCTAGATTACACCCAAACCACACATATCTAGTCTAAGAGCAGAAAAACAGCGTATGTTCTACAGTTTTTGGCTCTTTACCACACACTGAACATAAATCAGTTTTACTACACTTCCTTTTATATAAAGAAGCAGAAACAGGAATAGCTTGAACAATGCACCTCCAAACAAAATGATGAATTTTTGGCAGTGTCTTTAGTCTCCAAACCTTTTTCCACATCTCTTCAGGTATAAAACGTGAAGAGCTCGCCTTATTGCTCACTACATTCCTCTCACTCTTAGTGCAATGATAGCTCTTCTTCACTGTATATACTCCATTTTTTGCTGCCTCCCACACCACCTCATCTTTCCTGTTACAATCATTCAGAGGTGTTTGTTCAACTAACCTTAAAATTTCATCAGGAAGGATTCCTCTCAATTTTTCAACAATCCAATAACCATTTGAAATCAAATTAGCTACCTGAAAATTTTTCATCTCCTCTGGAACACTGCTAACTTGAGCCAAGCTACTCTCTAAACCTTCCACCCATCTGTCATTCCAAATGTTAATATCAGCACCATTTCCAACTTTCCACCATAAATGTTTCTTCAAGCACTCCCTTCCTTCTAAAATACTGCTCCAGGCCCAAGAGGCTCTGCTTCCTCTTTTTGCTTCTGAGAAGGTGGAGTTAGGAAAATAAACTCCCTTCAAAACCTGTACCCAAAGACTATCAGGACAGTTCAGTACTCTCCAAGCAGTCTTAGCCAACAAAGCATCATTCATGACTTCAAAGTCCCTGAATCCCATACCTCCTACACTTTTAGACTTAGTCAAAACATTCCAAGCCTTCCAGTGTACCTTCCTTTCCCCACCGCCCCCATTCCACTAGAATTTTGATACAATGCTATCCAATTCTTTACAAGTCTTCCTTGGGAATTTAAACACATTCATAGGGAAAACTAGTATAGCACTAACAATAGCCTTGATCATGACCTCTCTACTAGCATGAGTAAGCAATTTTCCACTCCAACCTTGCACTTTCTTCCCCACCCTCTCTCTGATATTAGCCAAAGCTTGACGCTTTGTTTTCCCTAAATATTTCTTTGGTTCCACCAGATCATTAACACCCAAGGTAGCACACACCCTTCCTCTGATGTTCTCAGGTCTATTCTTGGAGAAGAAAATACCAGATTTTGACAAGTTTGCTTGCTGTCTAAAGGCCATACAATAGTCTTTAAGAATTTCTGCCAGCACTCTACAGTTGCTTTCGCTTCCTATTTATAAGGAAATACTCCTTTAGTCCTATTTATAAGTCACTTCCGAAATGTTTTACATAGACCAAGAAAAACTTTAAACTTCATTAACTCTCATTTAAAATTCAATAACTTTCCAACTTTATCCCTATTTAATATATATTATATCTTATATAAATAAAGTCAACACAATAATAAATGAAGGGTAAAATTATACATCTATATAAAAAATTTCTCTCAGTACCCTATAGATAGGATCAAAAAAATATCTTTTCTCTCTACCCTATAAATAAGACCAAAGAGGAGTATAATAATTGTTTGACTGTAACAATAACAAAGTACAACGACATTAATAATTTTGATCGTTATTATTCATCTACAACTAAAATTAATAATCATTGATAGAAAAACCATCATTAAAATTGATTCAAATTAGTAGTGACTGAGATATTAGGCACTGAATGAGATAAAAAACAAGAACCAATAGCAACATAATCATCTAAGTCGGTTCATCACTGGTTCATATCGGTTTTCACCAGTGCACCCTAGTTTAACCAATTTCATATCGGTTCGACAACCAAACCAGACCATTGATAGATTCATCAGTTTATTTTTGTTCTCAACGTAAAATCTTAATTACTTTGCTTTGTAAATTTATATTTTTTTAGGTAAAGTATTTCTATTAAGAGTCTTTGATCCTTCAAGTTGATCCTCATTTTAATTTTGGTCCTTCAAGTTTCAAATATGAATTGTGAGGACAAATTTAATGAACCAAAAACTGTATTAACCTGTCTATGAACTACATTTTGGTTAGCCAAACCTATTAGTTATGTATACTAACAGGCTCCTAATCAAAGAGTAGTTCTAATATATATATATATATATGATTATCAAAGCAGTTTAGAAAAATCAAAAGCACATTTATTACAAAGAATTTTCTTAATTAATTTTTTAATATTCATAAATTACTTATTTTAATTATTACATCAAAAACAGGAGATATTATTAATTAAAAAAAAAAAGCAAAGAAGTGTACGAATACCTAAATAAAGAAGAGTCTTGCACGCTCCCTTCTGGATTACTATGACAGAGGATAAGACTAGGAGAAAGGAGAATTTGTGGAGGAGATAAAAAACGTGAGAATGCGGAAATTAGCGCATTATAAAATTTTTTCCATTCACGTCTTCAATTTCAGAAGTTCAAACACTGTCCCCACCAATATTGAATTTTCATTGCAGGTGGGTGGATTTATTCATATTCCATTTTATTTTCTACTTCATTGATTTCCAATCAATTTTTGGTTGACATTGCTGCACGGTCCCTTTCACTCTAACATCAGCTTTTGCGTCTCCAATCCCAGAAATGTTGGCATCGCCTGCCATGTTGTCCCAATCAGAACTATGAGGACCATATTCTAGCCATGATGAGCTTACTTAAAATAAATGTTTTTTTAACATTTTTTGCAGTACAAACTGCTCTGATCCGCGCAGACAGGGTGAGAATTACAATTAAATTAAGATGAATTGGTGCGCAGTGATGGTGATAATACAATTAAGAATTTCTCAACTTTCACGGCGGCCAAAATAAAATATCCAACAGGGCTACTGAGTGATTGACTAATGATTATAATAAGCAAGAGACTAGCTACGTACAGTCATAGACAAGCGAATTCTGAGTATTTGTGGTTTAGATATCTTCACCAAGCATAAAATTATAGATGATTACACTACAGTTTACTTTTGGGTAGTTGATTTGCAAAGAAAGGCTAAACAAAGACTGATTTATACTCTCTCTGTTCTTTTTTATAAGATACAAATAATTAAATTATGTAAATTAAAAAATCAGTTAAAAATGATTATATGCAATAATATGTTAAAAAAATGTAACTTAATTTTCAAAAGCACATTTATCTGTGAAAAAGGTAGAGGTGGCAATATATATTGAAACTACTAGTAAATAAGTCTTTTCAACCTGTAGTGTCAAACTCACAACCTTGTGGGTAATTGGCATTTATTTTTTTTAATTTTATCAATTATCATAATTATATTACTACATTTTATATCCTATATAAAATTTTGAAAAGACTTATATCATGTTTTCAATCAATTATTTGAAGGAAACTCATTGTGATAATTAACCTGTACTGTCACACTCATTATTATCACAGTTTTTTTTTTTAACCAGTATTGCCTCATCCTAAGCCACCATCATTGTCAATGGTCCCGTATTCCGAACCCTTTAAAAAGATCAATGGGAGAGAATAAGCCCAAAAGCGAAATAGGAAAGATACGATACAGTAAACCTGACCTCCGGGGACCAAAAACAGTTGTAATTAGTATTCAGACTTGGGTGACTAATAAAGGAATCAATTATAAAGTCACCCTTCTGTGGATGCCATATCGATATTCTCTATCCTGTGATGAGTTGTGATCGATCCATTGAAGCGTTTTATTGATTGGCCTCCTGCCTGATTCCCTCAATAAGGCATGGCTTCTTCTTCTTCTAGTTCTTCCTGGACTTACGACTTGTTCTTGAGTTTTAGAGGCGAAGACACTCGTGACGGTTTTACTTCTGAGCTTTATAGCGCTCTAGGGCGGTCAGGGATCCATGCTTTCATGGCCTATGAAAACGTTGAGAGGGGAGAAGAGATCTCTGCCTCACTATTGCAAGCAATTGAACGATCACGAATTGCGTTGGTAATTTTGTCTCCAGATTATGCATCTTCCAGATGGTGTCTGGATGAACTGGTGAACATAATGGAGTGTCGAAGATCTGCAGCTCAGGTGGTTATTCCCATATTCTATAACACAGATCCGTCTCATGTTCGTAAACAGATAGGTACATATGGTGAAGCGATGAAACGACACGAGCTAAGGTTGGGAGGGGGCGGTGATCGCTGGGTGTTGCGGTGGAGGCAGGCACTCACGGAAATCAGGAACCTTTCCGGGTTTGATTCCAGACAATTTCAGTAATGAATTCCAAACTAACTCTCATTTTTGTTTTTTTCTTGGGGGGAGGGGGAGTCAAATGCCGATGGGTCAAACTCAAAATGCCTTCATAATTTTATTTTTAAAATTAAAACAGAATGTAATAGAAAAATTATATAATTTAGTAAAAATTTGATATCTTTTATAATTTTTTTATATATGTTCAACGCTGACTATATATGTCCAGAAAATAAAAGTAAAATTTATGCATTTAAGAAAAAAAATTCAAACGCAGTTTGCCCTTGACTTTTTGAATCCTTCTCCTATTCTATTTCAGTTTTCCTTTGATAGATGTACATAATTACTTAGTAGCCTAGCGTGTTGTAGCTCACGCATGAAATGCTTTCCTAGACAATTTGATCTCGCTTATAATATTAGGCTTATTAATGCTTGCCCCTTAGTCAAAAAATAATATACATATTTAGTACGTAAATTATTCCATCTCTCACTCTTAATGGTCTAATAAAATCCTTCTGCTTAAAAATAAGTCCTGCTGGTTTATTTCTAATAATGATGCTGATTATTGTTTCACGTATGTTTAATTTAATGTTGACAGTGCTGAAAGTGAGCTGGTTGAGAAAATTGTTGAGCAAGTTTCAAGAGAATTACCGTCTACTGCTGACCATCCAATGAGAATACAATCACTAGTTCATAAACCAAAAGTTGATAAATGGTTGAATTATGACGTCTTCTTGAGTTTCAGAGGCGAGGACACTCGTCGCGGTTTCACTTCTCATCTTTATAAAGCTCTAAGGCAGTCAGGAATCCATGCTTTCATGGACGATACAAGGCTTGAAAGGGGAGAAGAGATCTCCGTCTCCTTATTGCAAGCAATTGAAAGGTCCCGAATTGCGCTGGTAATTTTGTCTCCAGATTATGCATCTTCTAGATGGTGTCTGGATGAACTGGTGAACATAGTAGAGTGTCGAAGATCTGCAGCTCAGGTGGTTATTCCCATATTCTATAACACAGATCCGTCTCATGTTCGTAAACAGACAGGTACATATGGTGAAGCGATGAAACGACACGAGCTAAGGTTGGGAGGGGGCGGTGATCGCCGGGTGTTGCGGTGGAGGCAGGCACTCACAGAAATCAGCAACCTTTCCGGCTTTGCTTCATCACTACATCGGTAATGTCAAAGTCTTCTGTTTAAAAATAAGTTTTGTTGGTTTTATTTCTGATAATGATGCTGTTTATGTGGCTGATTATAGTTTTTCACTAATAATTAATATTTACAGGAATGAAAGTGATATGATTCAAACTATTATTGCGTCTGTTTCAAAAAGAGTAGACACTGGACAATTGGTTGTAGCTGAGCATCCAGTGGGAATAGAGTCTCAAGTTGATGAATTGACAATTGAATGGTCAAATAAAGAAATCCAAAAACCTCTTATCATAGGCCTCTGGGGAATGGGAGGCATTGGCAAAACAACTGTTGCCAAAGCTATCTACAATACAATTGGCCGTCAGTTTAGAAGAGCAAGAAGTTTTCTTCTAAATATGAGAGAAACTTCAAAGCATGTTAATGGCCAAGTCAATTTGCAAAAGCAACTCATTTTTGATATACTTAAAGAAAAAGTTTCCAAGATACCTAACATTGATAGAGGCAAAAAAATAATTGAAGAAAGATTTCCCAACATAAAATCATTTATTGTATTGGATGATTTGGATAGTGTCAATCAACTGAGCACATTTTGTGGTAGTCTTGAATGGTTTTGTCCTGGAAGTATAGTGGTCATAACAACTAGAAATAGCCATTTACTTGATGCCATTAATGCTGACCATAAATATGAAATAGAAAAAATGAATCGAAGGGAGTCTCTTATGCTTTTTAGTTGGCATGCCTTTAAGCAAGCAGATCCCAATGAAGACTTCAAAGAATTGTCTAAAATGGTAGTTGCATATTGTGATGGACTTCCACTGGCTCTTGAAATCCTTGGCTCCTATTTGCGTGGGAGAACAATAAAACAATGGGAGGATGTGTTGTCCAAATTACAGAGGATTCTTACTAAAAGTATACACGAAAAGTTAAAAATAAGCTATGATGGATTGGATGATGATACAGAGAAGGATATTTTCCTTGACATATGTTGCTTCTTTATCAACAAGGACAGGAACTATGTTACACAGATATTAGATGGTTGTGAACTTCATGCAGAAAATGGATTACAAATCCTCATAGAGCGGAGCCTGGTGAAAGTAGGTAGAAATAATAAGCTTGAAATGCATGATTTATTGCAAAAAATGGGAAAGGAAATCATCTGTGGAAGCCCACCTAAAGATCCTCAGAAACGTAGCAGACTATGGTCTCAAGAAGATGTGCTTGATGTGTGACAAACTCAATTATTTTTATATATTTTGGTATCTTTTATATGGGTTTTGTCAACTTAATTGGTCCCTTTTTGCCTTAATTGATTGTTCTTTGATTTATTTTATTTTATTTTGAATTATTATTTTATAGGGGTAAAATTGTCATATTTTGGTTTAATTGTGACTAATTGATTTTTGAGGACAATTAATGCTACCTTATCCTTAAATTTTGTTTGCAGGTTTTTAGAAGATTTAAAAATAAAAATGAAAATTAAAGGAAAAAAAAAAGAAAAAAATTTAATTAAAAAAATAATTTAAAAAAAAGGGGAGCAATGTGTTAACAGATCATGCAGTAAGAATTTTCTTAATATACTGATTTATTTTCCAAGTTTTGATGTCAAGGGATGCATTATCTTTTTCTAAAATACAATTATCACCTTCGTTTTTCATTGCTACATTATATGTGTTTCATAGCCTTTATCATAGCAATCTTGTACATAAGAAGCAAGATCAACAGATATATATCTATATATGTTGGCTATTGATGGCTTTCTCTCAACATTTATCATATGTTTTTCCTTGCTTACAACATTTTTTTCTCCTATGTATTTACAGGGAACCAAAGCTGTTGAGGGTATATCTCTAAAGGTACCAAAAAAGCATAGAGATCCCATCGATTCTAAGGCATTTAAGAAGATGAAGAAACTCAGATTACTCCAACTAGACTATGTGAATCTTAAAGGAGATTATAAACATCTTTCCAAAAAGCTGAGGTGGGTTCGTTGGCATGGATTTCCATCAAAATACACTCCAAACAACTTTTACCAAGAAAAACTAGTTGCTATTGACTTCAAATATAGCAAGCTCAAAGTAGTTTGGAAAGAGTCCAAGGTATATATGTTTGTTGTTACGATCTATGAAGATAATCAACAGCACTCACAATATAATTCTTCTTGTCTAAAGTTTCTAATTCTTCACATGCATGTTTTGTAGAAGTTGCCAATGTTGAAGACACTCAATCTCAGTCATTCAACTTCCTTGAGACAAACTCCTGATTACATATCTACCAAACCTTGAAAAGCTTATGATGAAAGATTGTGAGAGCTTGATTTTAATTCACGAGAGCATTGGGGATCTAAAAACTCTCCTTCATCTTAATCTAAAAGGTTGCAAGAGCCTCAAAGATCTTCCTAGAAGCATCTACAAGTTGAAATCATTGAAGACTTTCATTATTTCTGGGTGTTCATTGATTGACCATTTAGAAGAAGATATTGAGCAAATGGAGTCCTTGACGACTCTTATGGCAGATAACATTTCCATAACACAACTACCCAAGTCATTAGCAAGATTGAAAGGGCTTAAGTATGGATATGTATCTTTCGCTGGTCATGAAGGAAAAGGGCAAGATATATTTCCTTCTCTCATATGGTCGTGGATGTCACCTCGTGATTTTCCTCAATCCCGTATTGAAGAATCTGTGCAAGGCGTATCATCTATGGTTGCCTCAATTGGATGGAATAGTGGCTTGCGTGGTCTATGTCAATTTCTGGGCGATCTTGTGAAGCTTCCATGTACGTGGGAGCAATGTCGATCACAGTTTCGATTTAATAAGAGAATGGCAAAACTTTTCGATGCATTGTATGAGAAAAATTTTATGGAATTTAAATCAACTCAAGATACACCCGAGATCTTAATAATGGAAGCTTCTGCGTCATCTAAGGGCCATGATGACCAAGTTCACAGTGCAAGGTCAGCAGATTCCGTCAATTCTCCTTTACTTCAACTGGGAGTGTGCGACAAAGCAGAGTTGCTAAAAGAGAAAATTTCGCAGGTTTGTCTCTTTTTCTTTTTCTTTTTCTTTTTTCAGCTATACTTAGCATGTGTGTGTTTTATGTGTTGATAGAAGGATGAAAAGGCTTCAATTTCGTTTAATAAACAGAAACGTGAACAATTACTTCCCTCATGCTCTAATAAATATTTCTGCTCCTTTCTCTTCGTTTTTGGGCACATTATTATTTGGTTACTGTGTTGATGCAATATAGGGATGGAAGTATGGTGGGTGGGATGATTCTCACCTACCTGGTGATCAGGATTCTGATTGGTTCATCTTTAAGGGTGAAGGGTGCTCAGTAATTTTGAAGGTGCCACAAGTCATAGGTTGTCAGCTGAAAGCGGTGCTTCTCAATGTTGGGTATTCTTCTTGTATGGATGACACGAGGCCTCAATTTCTCATAAATGTTCTCATCATTAACCACACAAAGGATACGATTAAACTACTGAAGGGGGACCCAGCAACTTTCCCTGAAGATGCAGAATGGCAGAGTATCATTTCAAGTTTTCAACTTGGTGATATCGTGCAGCTTATTATAAGTATTGGGCCTCAATTTCATGTGAAGAAGATTGCAGCATACCTGATTTATGACGGTTCTAAGCGTCGCAGGTTATTGAAATAATTGTCGCACAAATTGATCCCGGTTTGTAATATAGCCTCGGTACTTCTGTTGCAGGCTGTAATTTTTAGAAAGGGAAAATAACGATTACGGGCCTTTTTAAGCAAGATAATGACAACTGAGGAGCCCAAAATTTGAAACTGCCAATTGCTACAGATTTCAGCCAAGAGTTTTACAGGTCAGCTAGAGCGCTTTGGTTCTTAGAATTTTCCTAATCAGTAAATGACCTTGATCTTCAATTGGAATTTTCAAGTTTTAGGGTCATTAACTGTCGTTATCCTGCTAAAGCTGACCCTAACTGTCATTTTCCCTTTTAAAATCCGTCGTGATATGTTCGACAATGTAGTGTGTTTGACTGCTTGTGTGTGAAGACTCAGATGGGTGAATTGGACTTTGAAAAGATTATTGTTGTTTTTAAGTTATCTATTGACTGATAGAAGCTTTCCATTCCAACATCGCGATTTGAAGATCATCTCTCTTAATACAATATGAATGTTGGAAGCTCAGATTTTTAAATTTTCAGAGTAACCAATTTGAAGTCTACCAAAAACATGGAATATAAAATCAGAGATCAATCCATAAATTTCAAGAAACATATTTCTGAACAGCATTTGTCGTCCTTTAAACAGTTTTTTTAAAAGAAAAGCACAGTAGAATCAGAAAACTTGACCTTGCACAACAAATTTCAAATAAGTTGCAGTTTAAATGCAAATGTAATGAGGTGGCTTCACATGTTGGGGGCCCTGTCAAGAAGATAAAAGAATAATGCAGGCGTTTTTATTTTGTTATTATGTTATAACAAGGGAACCTGAATTTATATTTGAATATCGTAATCAAACAACAAGTAAAATTCCATTTTGGTCCTTCGAGATAACTCCTGTATCAAATAACTTCATCAATGACTTCTTGTTTTGTTTTACCACTCCAGCAGGTTGACTGTTTTTCAACCTTTGTTCTGCAAAAATTTACACAGGATATTGAAAGGATAATGTTAAAAAAAATATTACACCTAGGAATGGCCCATGTATAAAAGGATCACAAAGATAGATATGGATAGTTTGCTCTGTTTTAATTAGTTTTCTGATGGATCACTAAGGCAGCCATAGGCATAATTAAAGTACTGCTGTACTGTTTGTTTAAACATAAGTGTGGTCAGAGTCCCCTGCAAATTAGTAAGCTACATAAAGAATACCAATATAACGCCATACATACTAATGCGGCAAAGTCAAATGGTTCTTTATTCTCCAACATAATTTCTTATTCCCATATCAGACTTTCCTGCATCCTATTTTTCATAAGTGATCAGCAAGTAAACTATTAATTAAATTTGTTTGGCATATATATGTCTCTACGATTTAACAGGATGAGATTTTTCACTTGGATGTCTTCGAGCTTTATTATATTGGATCTATTAATATGGATTCTTATCCCCTGAAATTAAATATTTGCACCTTTCAATAGCTGGAAAGAAAAGACTTTCCCTCAAGAGACAACAGGATACTACCTCTGATCTTTAATATAAGACCTCGTTTGACTTTTATTTTAGTCCTAAATATAGGACCTCAATTCACTTTGTCTCTCATATTTATGTAATTTTTTCTAAGATAGTCCTTCTAATAATTGTAATTTTAGTTAACACACTTGATTAACAAGGATATTTTAAAAAAGACAATACCTATTTATTACAAATAACTAACTTAACTTATTTTCTTAATTTTCTCAAATTAGTCAACTAATTTTTATAATTAAGACGGGAGGTAGTATTAGTCTACTAGCTTTCTTTCACTACCGGCATAATCACTTACAAATATTTTGCTACTTTATGTTCTCATTTGTATTCTAATGCTGTACGTTTTACATTGTAAGCCTTTTTTTATTATTAATGTGATATAATTTTTTTTTAATTTGCAAAAATTTAGAAATTTAATTTATTTTTTTAAATAAATTTATTAATTTAACTATAGCCGGCTGCTCTATGATGGTGAAGGGAGTACGACTCATGTATAAGAGTCCAAGTAGGCAAATCTACCTGTACACTAAAAACAGTAAAAAAAAAAAAAACTACCCAAGTCTTTTTTGTTGTTGTTGTTGACCAGCATACCCAAGTCTTATAAAGTAAAAATTATTCACCCAAATACCATGCTTAAAATCATGTAGGTCAAGATCTGCCATTATTTTCTCACACTCACCCAGTCACCTTTCCCGCATTCACGCCATAATGTTCTCATCATTCTTTATCGCTATAAATTCATCGCGCACTTGAAAATGTTGGAGTAATTATTACAATTGCGTTGCCTGTTTTGCTCTTGCAGCCACGGACAAATAACCTTTTTTTTTTGAGAAGGTGGAAACAATTTTTGGACAAATAACTAATTCTAATGTAATTCTGTAAGTATGTGCTAAATATGAGCAGACGATGGTCCAATTAAAAATATATGTAGAGCTAAAAACTGAGTGTTAACAGAGCTCCAATAGCTCTCTTGTGCCATAGGCCTTCTTTTGAAGCCTTCTCCTGTCCCGTTCCAGCAATTAATGCCCACTCATTTATCCAACACTCGAAAGTTTTCCTGTGATGCATATACATATTTAATAGCTAAATTGGTCCATCTCTTATTCTTAATGGTGCACTAAAATTCTTTTGTTTAAAATTAAGTCTTGTTGGTTTTATTTATGATAATAATGCTATTTATGTGGCTGATTATATTGTTTCACGGACATTTATTATTGACATGTCTGAAGGTGAGCTGGTTGATACCACTGTAAAGGATGTTTTAGAGAAAGTAGACATTGGACCATTGTTTGTTACTGAGCATCCAGTGGGAATAAAGTCTCGAGTTCAGAAACTGGCAAATAAGGGTGTGTTTGGATAAACAGTAGGAGAAGTTACTTTTTTTCAATATGATTTTTGCAAAAATCAGATTGGCTAAAAGTCAGGTAGGGTGATGCCATTTATGTTTGTATTAACTTTTGCAAAAAAATCAGTTTGAAAAGCTAAAACTTGTTTGAATGAATAATAGAAAAGTAAGTTTAGACACAAAATGACTGAAAGCACATAAATTTTATTAAGTAATATTATAATGTGACAATCATAAAAAAATATTAAAAATAAAATGTTAGCTAAATAATATTATATAATTATATAGTAAGTTCCAAGCGGTAAAATAAAAACAAAAAGATATCTTTTATTAACAAAAAGAAAATCTAAACATTAAGTAAATAAATGAAAAAATGGCATGGTGCTTTTTTTTTTCCAATTTTACGTTCAGTATTTACTTTTTTCTATAATTTATGTTCAGTATTTACTAAAAAATATTATCCTCTATTTATTGTTCAACTTTTACAACGTGTGAATGTCTAAAAAACAAAACTATTCATGTACGATGTCATGTCTGATGTCTTCTTTTTCTTCGCTCCTTTTCTCCTACATACCCCACCGTGCCTCGCCCCAAAAACCCAAAAAACAAGCTTCTGCTCAAAAGCTTATCAAACCCAAGAAGTCCATCACAAAAAAAAGTCAATCCAAACAATTTCAAAATCCAAAAGGTAGTTTTTGTCAGTGGAAACGTATGTTTAAGCTACAAAATGTGATCCCAAACACATCCTAAATCAGCCAAAAAGAGATTCCAAAAAGCTCTAATCATAAGCCTTTGGGTGATGGGAGGCGTTGGCAAAATTACGGTTGTCAAAGCCTTTTACAAATACAATTGGTCATAAGTTTAGGAAAGCAAGAAGTTTTCTTGCAAGTATAAGAGAAAATTCAAAACATTCTAATAACCTAATTAATTTGCAAAAGCAACTCATTTATGATATTGTTAAAATAGAAGTTTTCAAGATATCTAACATTGACAAAGGGAAAAGAATAATTCATGAAAGATTTCCCAACATAAATGCATTTGTCGTATTGGATGATGTGGATAGCATTAATTAGTTGAACGATTTATGTAGAAGTTTTGAATGGTTTTGTCTTGGGAGTATAATAGTCATAACAATTAGAGATCTGTATCTGCTTAGTGCCATTAAAGCTGATCACAAGTGTAGAATGAGAACAGTGAATGAAATTGAGTTTCTTGCGCTTTTCAGTTGGCATGCCTTTAAGCAAGAAGCTCCCCTTGAAAGCTGCTTCATAGAACTTACTAAAAATGTAGTTGCTTACTGTGGTGGACTTCCTCTAGCTCTTAAAGTGCTTGGTTCTTATTGGAAAAATTGAAGAATGGGAGGATGGGTTGTCCAAACTACAAGGGATTCTGAATGATGAGATACAAGCAAAGTTAAAAATAAGTTTTGATGGTTTAAAAGATGATATGAAGAAGAATATATTTCTTGACATATATTGCTTCTTTATCGACAAGGATAGAAACTATACGGCACATATATTGAATGGATGTGGATTTAATGCAAAAATCGGAATAACAACTCTCATTGAGCGAAGCCTGATAAATGCTAATAGGAAAAATAACAAGCTTGAAATGCATGACTTATTACGTGATATAGGAAGAGAAATAATTTGGGGAAGCCCACAAAAAGACCCTAAGGATCGCAATAGATTGTGGTTTCAGAAGGATGTAGCTGAAGTGTTAATGCAAAATATGGTAAGAATTTCTTTCATGTCCTATTTTCTTTTGGAGGCTTTGATGTCAAGGAATATGCATTGGCTTTTAGGCCAAAAAACAAAAGTTACGTACTTTCTTTCTTCCCTAGTTTTATCTGTTGTACAGAATGGCAGCTTTCATGGCCTATCTCCATTTCTCGGCGATCTTGCTAAGCTTCGAGGTATGTGGGAGGAATGCCGATCACAGTCTCAATTCAATGGAGAAATGGCAAGACTTTCGGATGCCTTGTATGGGACAAACTTCATGAAATTGGAATCCACGCCAAGCACATCACAATTCTCATACGTGGAAGCTTCGGCATCATCTGTCGGTCATGATCCAGTTAACAATGCAAGACCAGCAGATTCCTTCAATTCTCTTTTAATTCAAATGGGAGAGAGCAGCAAAGTGGAC